AGAAAATCTACCTTCAGTAGTACCCAACCCATCAGTTGCGTATAATGTTAAAACCATTTTTGCAATGACACATCAAATTCACGATCATCGAAAGGATAATTGCGAAAAGGCAATCTTTATCCAGCACTGCAATTAATAAGGAAAAGTTCGTTGCATTCTAATTGGATTTCATTCATATCTCTCTTTAATTCATACATAATGTCCAACTATACGGATTTCGCTTGATATACACGCACACATACGCGCACACATGCACACATGAGAACACTCAGCTACCAGGTTACTTATTGAGTCTTCTTAACGATGGATAATGATTTGCCGGGTCTAATGATCTGGTAGGCCTAATGGCTCGAGGAGAACGAGAGTTGACACATCTTTCCTTCTCATTGCATGCAACACACCGAGCTGGGGCTGTTTCATAACCATGGGAAAATTGAGTATTCTCCCTGATATATAAGGAGAAAAAAATGAGACGTCGTTTAAGTAAGTTGATGTGCTGTGTACAGTGCGATGTGTTGTGTACAGACAGGAAAGGTTGCGTTTTCCGATACCATTGTTGATCATGCTGTTACTCGTATTTCCGTCTCACTACTTTTGAAAATATCACTGCTTCCAAAATCGTAACTGCTTACGAAACCCTTGCTGCTCCCGAAGCTTGCAAGACAATTACTACTTCTGAGACCATTGCTAGTTACAAAACCATTACTGCTCCCGAAGACACTGCTACTTCCACAGTTGTTGCTGCTCAAACCCTCTCAAACGATCATCTGAACTTAGGTATTGTAACACTGTAGTTGAGGAGAAGACGATTTGAGCATTGATATATTAATTTTGATATTATTATCATTTGTCATCTTTAATGTGTACCTACATTTGTGAAAATTTCCTTTTTGGTAGAAACAAAACATCTCATATATATACATATACATACATACATATATATATATATATATATATATATATATATATATATATATATATATGTATGTATATACACAAAAATGTCATACATTTCCTATTCTTACCTTTCTTTACGGTGTGTCTTTTCTTTTTCATTCTTGTTTCTCCCTCTCTATTTTTTATGAATACATACACACACGCATATTTATGTGTATGTGTGTGTTTGCTTGAATGTTACATATGAATATGTATGTATATATAATATGTATGTATTTGTACACACACACACACATATATATATGTGTGTGTGTGTACGTGTTTGTGAATAAATGCATATCCTTCTATCAAACTATATACAGCAGATCCTATTAATAGTTATGAATCAAACACACATTTCTATAGGATATTTGAAAGGAGCGTGAGACATTCATTTAAAATTTATCATCTGATTTATTCTTTTATTAGATTTTTACAAAAATACATTTATCTGTGTGAATTACCTTCTTAAGGTGTTGTGTACAGACTAGGCAGCGTTGTAACATGACCATTACCTGGAGGGCTGATGATTCCAGCACCTACACTGCTTGATGTGAAATCAGTAGCACTTCCGAAATCACTGCTGCTTGCAAAACCATTACCACTTCCCAAACCATTACCGCCTCCGAAACCACCGTTGATTCCGAAACCACTGCTGCTTCCAAGACTACCAAAACTACTGCCATTCCGAACCACTGCTCTTCCAAACCATTGCTGCTTCCGAAACCACTGCTGCTTCCGATTGCTGCTTCCGAAACCATTGCTGCTTCCGAAACCATTGCTGCTTCCGAAACCATTGCTGCTTCCGAAACCATTGCTGCTTCCGAAACCATTGCTGCTTCCGAAACCACTGCTGCTTCCGAAACCACTGCTGCCTCCGGAGACTCCGAAACCATTGCTGCTTCCAAGACCACCACTTGTTCCAAAACCATTACTGCTTCCGAAACCATTGCTGTTTCCTATACCGTTGCTAATTCCGAAACCACTGCTGCTTCCGAAACCACCGTTTACTCCAGTCGCCCGCCACTGAAGCCTACAGAACTCCCAACTACTTGACCACTGCCAGCCGAAGCGGCATCCAAGGCAGTCTGCAGATCAACTCCAATTGGAAGAGTTGGATTCTCTCCTTCAGCATAGTTGACGAAGTACACTTCGGGATCTGAAGGTGGTGGTGCTGGAACTTCGATCACCTTTTGACCCTCTTCCGACTGTTTATTGAGGATGTACACGACGTGTTCCTGCTGGGGAGGAGGTACAACGATTGGATCTGGCCCTTGTCCTCCTTCAGGAGTTCGGATGAACAACAGGTTAGTCTCCACTGTTGGTGCAGGGATGAAAGGTGGAGGACCTGTTGGCGTGGGAGTTCTTGGTACATCATACAAGAACACACGACGGTTGACTCTTGGAGCTACGCATCTACCGTCCACATGTAACACCTGTCCGTTGCTACATCTTCGCGAGAGTAAAGATGGACCGGAAGGGGGAGTAAGTTATAGCCTGAGGCTTGGCGGTGACACTGACAATCACAGACAAGATTAGAACCTGAAAATGGAAACAGAATGAA